TTTTAATCAATTTTTTTTCAAATATAAAAAAATCTTCTATGAAGCACTAATTTTAAATAATTTTGCCACAAGATATCCACTTTTATTACAATTGAGCCAAACACTTCATGATTTGACTTAATTCGAAGCCAAATTAATTTAATTAATTAAATAATATTTTAAATCCAAAACATTAAAATATTTGCAAAAAACTAGCGTTGCACATATGTAACGGGCAATTTATATCATATCCTAGCGTTACATATATGTTACATTTATTATCGTCACATAGTTGATGTATTTAACTATGCTTTTTCTTTATTAATGAGTTTTTAACTATAATTAAAGATCATTTACTTTATAAATCTGTCCAATTCTGATCAAAAATGTGTCAGAAAATGTTAAAATTTTGAGTTCTAAAATGACTAAAATTTCCACGTAAAAGAAAAGTTTAATTAACTTCTCCAATTTACATAATTAAGCAACATGAAATATTAAGGAAGGTACTTGATCTAGCCATAAACGTAAATCATTGATCAGATTCAGTGTAAAATGAACTATTGAAGAGAATTTTAAGAAAAAGTTGGCGTAACATATATGTTACGCTAGTAAAGAACGGGTTAAAACTTTTCATTAAATAGCTTTTTGTAATCAGATAACTAAAATCGCCTTTATTTCTAAATAAAGCATGTAAATTGGCGTGTATAAAAAGACATTGCCGGTTTAGGAAGTAAGAAATTAAAATTCTCACAAATTGTTTGTGTCTCAAAACCATCTTTTTAGCCAAAATAGTAACAGGAAAAAGTATCATCAAAAAAGATCCATGAAGAAGAAACGGGAATTTACGCAAAAATTCTAATTTCATTCAAATGACGTCTACGCTATTTACAAATATTCTTAAGGTTCTAAAAACAGACGAAATTAATCGTAATGAAAAGAAGTCACGCATTACCGTTAGAATCTTATTTTTTATTTCTCCATGTCTCATTCTTTTGTTTAATCGTTTTAATGGAAAGTCGCATGATGATGAGCATTTGATGGACTTATAAAATGACGTTATCTTATTTCTTCTCTTCATTTTATTTCTAAAGTGTGTATAACTACTTTCATGATGATAATAACACCCAGTCTAATGAATTGTAATGCGATATCAAGTCATTATTTTTCAATTTTTTATTCTTAAAACTTTTGAGAACTGAGATGCTACTCATGTCTATTTTTAGAACATAGCGTATGAAATTTTTGTTTCAAGCATTATAAAAAATTGGTTTTGAAGGTAAAGTGTGCGAGGTACTGAGAAGCATTTTTATTAAATTTCTTAAAATGATTTAATTTAAATTTGTAACGGCTATTAAAATTTTAAAAATAACGGTTGTCAAAATTCAAAGATTTTGAAATTTTTAACGGTTTTCAGGATGAAAAATCATTAATTAACGCAATTCAACTTGAGCATGCATATAAAACCTTTGAACTTGACGAATCAAGCAAGGAACTAATTGTATAATTCACATAAAACTTTTTTGCACACATCCTGTAAATACTGAGCTAATCAATTTAAGTACTTTTTAATAATTTCAAGGAAGACGAGTGTGAAGCATGATTTCATTAGAATTGACTATTATCGCGAGACGCTTAGTCAAAATGAGCACGCTTTTTACACAAAATTGCACTAAAAAATTCAAAATGAGCCGTAAATCGGAGATGATGAGTTAAACATTGGAATTTCTATTTATCAAATATAAATATTCATTGAAGTGAAAAAAACCTTTAAATTAATAAATCATCAAAGCTAAAAAATTTGTATATTACTTAATTTTATATTTTTTGCAAGGAAAGACTGAATGATTGAATTTCGGAGGTCGTACTATAGCCTCCAATAGCTGGTATTTTTTTTTGTCAGAAGTACATGCGATGATTCTTTTCTTCTTACAAATACGCTCGAAAAAAAAATAATTTGATATTGGAATGTTTAAAAGCTTACGAGCCAAGCACCTGATGGATTGGCGCTTATTGATATGTAGAAGAAGCAATTACGATGTATGAAGATGAGTCTTTTTTTGTTGTTAATACATTCCATAGCAGGCAACAAAACATTATTATGATGTCATTATTTTTGTATTGAAACTTGATTTTGATCTCTTCTGTCATCATCATAGACGCTGCTACTCCGCGCGCTTATATCGAATACTTTATAGTATCCCTATCGATTAGTCATTACTCGGACAATAAAAATAATAAAATTGCTTACGATATATCGAGAATGAAACGTGATAATGATAAATGAGTATAGAATTGGAAAGGAAAAGAGAAATAAAATAAAATATTTAAATAGCTGGACAAGATGCCTATCAAAATAAAATTAATTAGAAGACTAGTAATGAAGCCGATCACGCTTCATGGGAATATTCACACAATCCTATAGAACTCTCTATGTATTGTTCAGAAAATCTTGAAAAATCTTCTCTCAATAAAATGTAAGACTTAATATCAACATTTTGCTGTATTATCAACAAATTATACCACGTATTAAAAACACGTTTTACACCGAAAATCATGATTCTAGTGTCATAATAAATGACAATTTTTAAAATTATAAGTATGGAAAATACGACTTATCTTAATTAAAGTACACTAACACTACAAAAAAGAACAAAAAGGACTTAATTTAATTAAGCCGCATACTGATGAACGCCCAAGACTCGCACACAAACCTGAAGAAGATAAATAATTAATTGAAAGCCCCATACAAATTTACAGAGAACTTATAATAGTGATTTCTGCGAGCTCTTGTGAAGTATATGGCAAATGCCAAATTAAGAACAAATATTATTTTCCTGCAAAAAAATATTTTTTTGATGATTTTTCATAGGATTTGAACCTAAGCGGGCTCGGGTAATATTTCGATGGAACACTTTTGTCACATGTTTGTAAAACAAATATTTTACATATAATTTTGGTTATTTGGGAGGCTTGGATAGTTTTGCAACCTGTGTGGTATTTACGTTTAACTGTTTATAGATTACAGTAGGTTTATAGGTTACAGATCGTACTGGATTTTTAAATGTATCGACCAAGAATCCAAAATTAACTATGTCTAGAACTCAAAACCAAGAGTCTGTAAAATTTTAATTATGTCTGAAACTTGGAACCGAGATCTTATAAAATTTTAATTATTTTTGAAACTTGGAGCCAAGATCCAGTAAAGTTTTAATCATGGCTGAAACTTAAAAACAAGATTCAGTAAATTTTTAATCATGTCTGCAACAAATTATAATGATCCAGTAAAGTTTAAAGCATATCTGAAACTTGGAATCAAGATCCAGTAAAGTTTTAATCATATCTGAAACTTAAAACCAAGATCTAGTAAAGTTTCAATCATGTCTGCACCAAATTACCAAGATCCAGTAAAGTTTTAAGAATGTCTGAAGCTTAAAACCAAGATCCAGTAATGTTTTAATCATGTCTGCAACAAATTATCATGATTCAGGAAAGTTTTAAGCATGTCTGAAACTTGGAACCAAGATCCAGTAAAGTTTTCATCATGTCTGAAACTTAAAACCTAGATCCAGTTAAGTTTTTATCATATCTGAGGTTTAAAAACAAGATCCAGTAAAGGTTTAATCATGTCTGAAACAATAAACCTAGATCCAGTTAAGTTTTAATCATGTCTGAGTTTTAAAAACAAGATCCAGTAAAGGTTTGATCATGTCTAAAGCAATAAATCAAGATCCAGTTAAGTTTAAATTATGTCTGAAGCTTGAAAACAAGATCCAGTAAAGGTTTAATCATGTCTGCACCAAATTACCAAGATCCAGTAAAGTTTTAAGAATGTCTGAAACTTAAAACCGAGATCAAGTAAAGTTTTAATCATGTCTGCAACAAATTATTATAATTCAGTAAAGTTTTAAGCATGTCTGCAACAAATTATCATTTTGATTATTTTTGAAACTTGGAGCCAAGATCCAGTAAAGGTTTAATCATGTCTGAAACAATAAACCTAGATCCAGTAAAGTTTGAGAAAAAGTTCTAAGTGGGCTTTGACAATTTGTTGAAATTGAGAGATCATTGTGAAAAATTGGTTAAATAATTTAATTTGTTATTAAAAATTAAATCCAGTCCACTAAAATTGAAATTGAAATTGTGCTATCGTTGGAACCAAGATCCAGTAAGTATATAGCAAGAAAAAAATCAATGCTGGAACCAACAACATATTTCCATTATGATACAAGTAAGTATGTATTCAATAACATTGATCCAGCAAGCTGAATCTTGTGAAGGAACTCGCTAGTTCCAACATTTAACTTAATGCATACTGTCACAACCATTTTATTAATATCAAACTACTACCAACAAATATTTCCGTTGTAAACAAAAAATAATATGTTATGTAATAATCGGTTAAACTTTTTCCATACAAAAATGTTTATGCATCTTGTGCCTCACTGGAAGCATCTTATGACTCCAAAAACAATACAGTTCTTGCGATAGCCATTATCGAGTTTGAATCGAGTTATCGCACCGATTAATTAACAAAATGCCTTTTTTTGCGATTTCTCGGTACTGGAACTGCCAAATGAAAAATTGTTTTCACCATTAGATAGGAATTTTGAGGCACAAATAAATATCAGGTATTTGGGTTGATTCCGTAAGCCTGAAGCAGAAAGTTAAAAAACTGATTTTCCGAAAAACCAAAAACAATATATTCACAAAAATCGAAAATTTTGTGTGAATATTAATGTTGAGAATTGCATGCTCTATCCTTACAATGTTGCATATAAAAATGCCTTCATTCAATCCTCATATCATGATCTTAATTCTAGCATTTTTCATTATATTGCATTGCATTATTGCTCTTAATAACTCCCGGTTAAATTCCTTATTTAATTGATACATCAAATGCTTCTTTTATGTGCTTAATTACTGTTGGCAATTGTCATAAATTAATTTTGTAAAGATTCATCTCAAGATGTGTATAATTATGAGATTTGAAAAACCTGTAAGCAGCATCGACTGCATGTCTGCTACTTTGTAGTCGCTTTACTGAGAATTTTATAGTCTTTGACTTGTGGATCAGTCTCATCAAGTATGAATCCACAGTATTCATAAAATCTCATTGCCTCTTCATTATTCGCTAATGCTGTCAGCACAATACATTCCATGTCATGAATCTTTGCCAATTCTTCCATACATCTCATTAAGTGTCTTCCTAATCCCTTGCCTTGATATTCTTCCTTGATTTGTAGCTCATAACTGAAATTCGATTAATATGTTTACATGATGAGGTTTAAGGATAGATTAGTTACCAATAAAGCACTGCTCGATCAAAATCCATTTCAAATTTGAACATTGAAAATCCAGCTAATAAATCCTCGTCTTTAATTATTAAGTAGCATGCATTTTTTGATTTTAAGTCCCTCATCTTTTTTCGTTCATTCCATCCTAGTTTACTGGATTTAAAGTAATTACCAACATTGCTTTCTATTAGCTCTAAAAGCTCATTGATTAATTCCTTTTGTATATCCTTGATTTTCATAAAACTTAATTTAAAGCTGACTTCCTTCCTGTTGAATGGACCCATCTTTTTTTCAATCTCTTGGAATCGATTTTTGATGGAATTTGCTGCATTTACTTTGTTCATTTTGGTGAATATAATTAATGGGCGATTATTGAATTAATTTTTGAATAATTTTTGTTTACTTTCTCAAAACCATACAACAGTTCTAGAACAATTGAAGGGTTTTCAACAGACATATTTTGAATTTTGAAATTCTTCTATTTTTGACCGCGATTTCTAGTAGCAAGCAAAAGAGATGAAATTCACAATTTAACTAGTTTAGAAGGAATTATAAATCACAAAGTGACGATAGAACTATTGAAATTGAACAACGATTGTACAAATCAAAGAAGATAGGACTTGAAAACGCTTAAATTAAGAATAAATCGAATATTTGCAAAAATTAACCTCAACAATGCCAAAGAGACGAGGAAAGGTTTATTTTGAGACGGTTTTGACTAAAACATCAAGAGATGTAGTTGTAAGTAATATCGGCTAGATATTAATTTACAATATGTTATTAAGAAATGAGTATTTTAGGTTGAATGTGTCATCGAACACTGCGGTGAACATTCTGATGACGGTTTTTTTGCTCAAATGCACAAACAATTCGTCGAGGCAATAGAGAAGAACCTGCTAGCCCAAACTATCAATAAAAAGAAGAAAAAGAAAGAACAGAAATGGGAAGCAGAAAAGATTCTCGGATCAGTCATGTCTGGTGGAGAATTAATGTTTATGGTAAAATGGAAGGATAAGGATGACATAGCATTAATTAGTGCACATCAGGCAACTCAGAAATATCCGAAACTCGTCAAATTTTACTTTGCAAGACGACTCCAATGGTCTCCAGTCCATGATAAACAAACTTATAAGATGGTCGAAAGATCCTAAATCTGAACTTAACTACACAACTACAAAACTGAGGAAATAAAGAAATAACATCCATTTGAAATATTCAATACCTATTAAACATGAAAGAAAATAAATGAATTAATGTGAATAGTCATGGATGACAATGACGATTAGTTGAAAAGTCAGGATTAAAGCAAGCAGCAGCAGCAGCAAAAAATGTTCATTGAATGATCATCACATTAACATTTCACAATAGATTAGAACTTGACTTCTCCAAGCAAGCATCAACTAGATGAGCAGATATAAATCTTGAATGATAATCCTCACCATAAAAGCCTGTGTGAAATATCACAATACGTCAATCGATTGCATTTACTGCTGCTGCTGTTGCCTTTTCTCTCTCTCTCTACTCATTCTATCCATTCAGTTGAGTTTAGTGATATGCAGCAAGCTTTGTCATGTTTGTTTGCCATTCATCAACGTGACATATTTGTTGGTCTCGAGAGACATTTTTCACTCGGTATTAACTCGCTGTTTTAGGGTAATGCAATGAACGATTAATGCAATTTTTATTCTTTATTAGGAATGCTTTCAATCAATTTACAAATACGATAGAAAAAATTTATCGTATAGAACATAGAATGGAATCAATTGCATTGCCCATAATTAGATCTCATCCACTAATTTCTATCCCTTAAATAGAAACAAACGTCAAAATGATTAATTTTTTTGTGATATTCTCTGTAATTAATGCATAGTCGTGATTACTTTGGGTTTTTATATGATGGAGGAGATGATTCTTACATTTTCTGACTGCACAAAGTCATGCAATCGTGAGAATGACAAAAATTAACATTTTAACGTTTTTCAAAACTTTAAATATTTCATTAATTGAGTTTGAATTATTGAAAACCGTTAGATTTAAATTATCAAAGATCGTTATTATGTAATTAAAACTATCAAGAACCAATTTAATGCAAACAAGCGCTTTAATCGTAATCTTCATTCAAGCTTAATAATCCTCTTGTACAATCTATTTTTCCTACAAATAATTGAGTGTGAGGAAGCTATTATAGGAGAGCGGAATCGAATGAAATATCAAAAGGTGCACGCAATTCACGATGCTGCATAAAATTTGCAATATAATCGAGGCGGCATGACATTCAGTAATAGTAATAATAACATTTCAGTCCGTGACATAATGATAATGAATTCGCAGATTTTCAATATTATTTTCTTCTCTCCATCTCTCTCACTATATCTATCGTCTCTTTGTCGCTCTACTCATCACAATATAAACTTTGCTTATTTGTTGATCCAAACCAATAAATCAATAGATCAAATTGCCTAGTAAATAAGCCGCACGTTCAGTTTACATTGCAAATGGAGTGAGATGGAGCAAACGAAAAGTCCATATTTGTGGCAAGCTAAATGCAACACAGCAGCTAGCGTCAACAGTAAAGGAGATACAATGTTTGAGATTATTTGTTGAGTTTGTTTTTTTTTTTCATAACAGCATCATGTTAGATGTCTTTTTAAGGCGCATCTTCATCACGATGTCTACTTTGCAATTATTATTCTCATTTTGCGGATGGACGATTGTTAATTGTGCACTTGAACCTGACTCATTCGATACTATTAATGAGAAGTGATAAATTGTTGAAAAAAGAAAGGAATAATTGATTTGATGCTGTCATCATTGAGCTATTTCTACACAAAATGCAATGCTCGACTAGTAAAACGTTATCCACGAGCAGTGAACATAAAAAATTGCGATCGCCAAACTTCGAGTGTTTATAAAGCACGTGTATACATTGTAAATTGTCAACAACAAAAAGGCATTGCTAATTTAGGCTTTTTGTGTGTCAATTGCTTTTCTGAAATAGAATTAAATTGTTCACACAATTCTTTACAATTTGACTACCAAAACAAACTATTCAGTAGCACTTTTATTAAATATTATGACAAATCATATTGCGCACAAACACCCAAGAGTTTATGATTCTCTTGGATTTTGGTTGGCATGTTGTTGTTCTTGAAGGGACGTAGATTATGAGAATACAAAGAATAAATTTTATACGGTCGAAATAATTTAAATTGGAAAACCCTACAAATGTTTGAAAAGTGAGTTTTTTGAATGAAAAGTGTGTCTGAAAACCTTACAAATTTGAATCAAGATACTTTATGTTGAAAGGTTTTAAAACCTTAAAATCCGATGTAGGAAGGTTCAAAAATTCAAATGATATTTTTCTGCTACAAAATCACATTTCTTCTTAAATTGTCGTTTACTTTGTCAATATTAATCTTCATCAGTATTGAACTACTGCATCAACATATCATCTACGCAGAGTCATAATTGAATTTAATATGTTGACTGAACACTTCAGTAATTTAATTATTAAGCATACACGCTGAATAAGTTCGTCAATTCGACACAGCATCAGCTCATACATAAGAAATCATCACACATTCTATAGAGCGATCAAATGAAGGCAGTAAAAATCGTTTCGCTTAATTTATAAGGTCGTCAAAATTAATTTACATTAAATTAAATTGTTTATTAATAGTTCGCGTGAATACTTTTTCGTACACTTTATTGTTATGATGGTTAAATTTTTGCGTGCGCGCGCATGTCTGATGATCAAGGAAGAATTAAATGGATGTACAATAATGAAACTTCTGTAGACTAAACAAATTCTTTCGATAGATTTCATAAGATTGCTTTATTAAATAATTTACTTCCCGTTCATAGACAATTTTCGATGAATAATCAGTAAATCAGCAGTAAAATTAATGAATGGAAATTAAAAGGAAATAAATTTTATCTTGATAAGTATGAACATCGTCATTGTCACGACTTTATTTCGGATATATTATTATTTATGGGAAGACGATAGCGTCACTTTCATGACATCACTTAATAGCTTATTTATCTGGAAATTATCCTCAATATTATGCTATATAATAATAGAAATACAATAACTCAGTGCTTTGATCATCCGTGTTTGAATATTCATTCGTGACTTTCAATAGACATTCTATAGGATAGGATCATCATCCATCATTATGACAGTTAAAATCACATACACACTCCTTTTTCTATCACTTTGTGAGATTCTATTTTGGCTTGTTTTCATTCAATATTTACAATAATTAATTAATTTGCGATGCAAACTTATAAATCTTACAATTTAAGGAAAAATATGTATTGTCGAGATGTTCTGAATAAAAAATTAATTTTTTTTGGTTTTGTTGGATTCTTTTGGAAGTTATCTTAATGAATTTTTAAGGTTATAATATTATATTTTTGCAAAAACTTAACTCTTAGTGAACTTTTGAATCTACTGACTTATCAGGACCAAACAATTAACAATTATGAATTATATAATTTAATAAACCATGAAGAAAAGAGGTCTGACCCATGAAACCCCAAAAAATGCCTAAATCAAAGTCAACGAAGATATACAAAGTATAGAAAAATCATTAAATTAATCAGTTTCAACACAAGCTACAATAACTAATTTCTCATCTTTACAACTTACTACAATGACCACTGAGTCAGCTGTAAAATATTTAATATCGTCATTTTCAATCACAATGATGATGTATTAAGATTTCTATTCAAAGTAACCAGTCAGTCTGTTTGATATTCTCCAGAAACTACTTGTTCATGATTCACACATTCATGACGTACTCAATATCCACTTCACTTATTTGATTATTCCAGAATTCATTATTCAAGTGAATTTCTGATGAATATTCGGAATTACCTGAGATTCTGTGTAGAATTATTGATAGACCCTCATTATAAGTATTGCAAAAAAAATACTAAGAACAGCACTTTAGTAATGATATTGTCTTCACCAGATATTTTAATTCTGATTTGTTTAAGTTTTGGTAAGATTAGAGGTGTATTCAGGGTGGGGATGTATAGGAAGGACCCAATTTGCCTTTCTTAACATATTTCTGTCTCAGCTTCTAGGCATGGTGATGATGTTGACTTAAGAGATCTTATTTGCCATGATGTGTATGGTGTGAAGTATCATAAAAATAATAATATTAAATTCTCATCAAGTGATTAATTCTTATAGACATTCTTTTCATTATTTATACACGATTATTTTGTGTTTTGCCTTTAATAAAATTAGTTTTTAATCAAAATAATACCATGAGTAGCTAACAGCCGCAGTGAGAAATGAAAATAGTCTTTTCTCCTGCTGATCAATAAATAATAATACTTTTTCAATCTCTACAAGATAAGTGCTTTAGCTTATTGATGAGTGGATGAAAGGAAAATAGAACAAGTGGCTGCCTGCCAAAATATTAATCAATGCGAATTTGCTAATTAAGGTTTTGTTGCTTAACTTAAATTTAGAGAATTGTTTTGGAATTGTTGCTTGTTTGGTCTTGAAGTTGAATAAGTAAGTTGCAAGTTGTTCTTGTATTTTTCTTTGTACATTGAACGTAACCAACGAATTTTCTTCCAAGGATTTATGTTCCTCCAAAATTCAGGACTTTGAAATGAAAGAAAGTGACTTAAACCAAAATCAAGATCAAATCCAATGAAGCCTAACCAGAATTTCTTCAAGACTTAATTCTTACTAAATCTTTTTCCCGCAAAAAAAAAAAAACAAGAATCTTTTCACAAAGAATCCGTACATACATCATCAGAAAACACTAATATCTCATAATCGAATCAGTAAAAAGAATCAAACGACCTTCAACGTTTTTTTCTTGTCTTCTTCTTAATTCTATTAAAATCAACTGCTAGATTCCTTTAGGCTTGAAGAAGCATGAATAATATACAAGAATATACTTCTTAAAAAGACTTCCAACAACAAAAAATTTCAAGACGCTATAAAGTGATGAGTAAGAAAAGGAACAAGATTTTTTTTTTGTTCTTCTCAAATTCTTGAATTATGAGTGTTTGTACATTATTAGCCAATCGATGTACTCTCAGCATCAACAGGTAATATTGAGTGATGTCAAATAATTTTTTTTCGGGGGATTGTTCGCAAGTGATGTCGGGGGTTTTAGTTGCACTCAAGAATTTATGATTTATTAACCAATTTATGATATACCTGAAACTTAAGCATTCAATGATTGATAGAGATGATTCTGTTAATTCTTCGACATTACTTTTAAATAATCCCTGGTCCACTTCAATGAATGAATTATTTTTTGATCACATTTTGCTCAACTTTCTGAAGCGTGACTCGGTATAAAATCGAAAATTCCTTACAG